CGGTTCGGACGCATACAAACCGAACGATTCCTAGGACCATTTTTCCTGCAGACAAAATCCGCGCTGGCACGATCACCACAACGTTGCGCAACATCAAATGGCAAACGTAATGAAAGCGTAACGAAACTGCGCTTCTCATTATATTGTGCTTAACGGACCATTATCAGTTCGGACCAGCAACATCTGTGCAGCGCGAGGTCAAGCGATTCACTTGAGATCTGTGCTAAGAGATCCAGTGAAGAAAACATTTGAATTCGCCACTGAAGTAATAACATCGCTGCGAGATCTAGTGAGAAGCATTCAAATTTCTTTGTTATTAACTGTAGATCTCTATTAGATCAAACAGCGCTGACGTGGGACCCAGGAGAAACATTGTGCCGTGAATGGATTTAATGTTGCACTTCAAAACTCAAATATTATATAAATCTATATTTAAATGTTATTTTTAATGTGATTACCAAAACATTATTTGTTCATCCTTCAAAGATTACCCCCATTTATAAACCTGAAAGTTTCAAGATGTAGGAAAACTCAAACTTATTTAAAAATAGTTTTTCTTTTAATAAATAGGAAATTTCTCTGGCATTTCTTTCTTTTTGCTGTATCGTATCGAACCGAACCGCAAATTTTGTGAACTGTTACACCCCTAATGTATATATATATTCTCATTATTTTTTATACACTTTTAAAACATTTTTATTTTTTGTTTACATGCCTGCCGGGTATTTTAAGTTGAGGTGCTATTTGTTTTTATATTAGACTTTTTCTATATTTACTGTTGCACTAAAGTCCAAAAGTGAAGATTTTATGTTATTTATTACTTGATTGTTCAAGCTACCTCACAGAAGTGCTCTGTTTGTTAACAGAGTTGTTGAATGTTAAAATAAGGTGAATTAAATATAAAATAAGGAACATCCTGGATCTGTTTTTTCTCTCTTCTTTATTATTTTTTTATGTATTATATAAGTATCGGATCGGGACTCTGTATCGGTAGATACTCAAAATCAAATGTCTCGGACTCAGACTCGAGGGCAAAAAACCTGATCGGGACATCCCTAACGTTTATTACAGTGTTATTATACATTTTTTACATTATTATTTTGTTACATTCTTTTTGAAAAAAGTAGCGATTTTTGAAAATAGTATAAAAATGTAATTATACATTTGTTACAGTCTTATTATACATTCATTACAATGTAAATATTCATTTATTACAATGTAATTATACATTTATTACAGTGTTATTATACATTTAATACAATGAAATTATAAGTTTATTACAGTGTTATTATACATTTTTTAAACTATTATTATTAAACATTTGTTACATTATTATTTTGTTACATTATTTTTTTTTTTAAGTATCGATTCACTTTCGAAAAAGTAGCGCTTCTTTTTTGAAAAAATATCGATTCACTTTTGAAAAAGTAGCGATTAATTTTTGAAAAAGTAGCGATTATTTTTTGACAAATTAGTGATTAATTTTTGAAAAAGTAGCGATTCTTTTTGGAAATAGCAGCGATTCTTTTTGAAAAAAGGAGCGATTCTTTTTGAAAAAGTAGCGATTCTTTTTGAAAAAATATCGGTTCACTTTTAAAAAAGTAGCGATTCATTTTTGAAAAAGTAGCGATTCATTTTTGACAAAGTAGCGATTCATTTTTGAAAAAGTAGCGATTCATTTTTGACAAAGTAGCGATTCATTTTTGAAAAAGTAGCGATTCTTTTTGAAAAAGTAGCGATTCTTTTTGAAAAAAGTAGTGTTAAAAAATGTAATTATACATTTATTACAGTCTTATTATACATTACAATTTATTACAATGTAATTATACATTTATTACAGTGTTATACATTTATTACAGTGTTATTATACGTTTATTACAATGTAACTATACATTTATTACAGTGTAATTATACATTTGTTACATTATTTTTTTATTGTTTTTTTAAAGTAGCGATTCTTTTTGAAAAAGTAGCTATTCTTGAAAAAGTAGCGATTATTTTTTTTTAAAGTAGTGTAAATAAGTAATTATACATTTGTTACAGTCTTATTATACATATATTACAATGTAATTATACGTTTATTACAATGTAATTATACTTTACAGTCTTATTTTACGTTTATTACAATGTAATTATACATTTAATACAATGTAACTATGAAAAATTATGTATAGAACTATGAAAAAGTAGCGATTCATTTTTGAAAAATTATCGATTCTTTTTTGAAAAATTATCGATTCTTTTTTGAAAAAGTATCGATTTACTTGAAAAAGTAGCAATTCATTTTTGAAAAAGTAGCGATTCAGTTTTGAAAAAGTAGCGATTCTTTTTTGAAAAAGTAGCGATTCATTTTTGAAAAAGTAGCGATTCTTTTTTAAAAAGTATCGATTCACTTTTGAAAAAGTAACGATTCACTTTTGAAAAAGTAGCTATTCACTTTTGAAAAAGTAGCGATTCATTTTTGAAAAAGTAGTGATTCATTTTTTACAAAGTAGCGATTCATTTTTGAAAAAGTAGCGATTCTTTTTGGAAATAGTAGCGATTCTTTTTGAAAAAAGTAACGATTCTTTTTTTAAAAGTAGCGACTCTTTTTGAAAAAAGTAGTGTAAATTTTTTAAATACATTTATTACAGTCTTATACATTTATTACAATGTAATTATAAGTTTTACACAATGTAATTATACATTAGTGTTATTATACGTTTATTACAATGTAATTATACATTACAGTGTTATTATACATTTGTTACAATGTAATTATACGTTTATTACAATGTAACTACATAGTTTAAAAACTATGTATAGAACTATGAACAACTATGTATAGAACTATGAAAAAGTAGCGATTAATTTTTGAAAAAGCATCGATTCACTTTTGAAATAGTAGCGATTCTTTTTGAAAAAGTATCGATTCTTTTTTTTAAAGTAGCGATTTAACTGAATCTGTAGTCAGCACTGTTTAATTCTGAATATTATATTTTATTCTGGTGCGCTTAACGTTATCGTTTTCTCAGAGTTTAGGCTCCTGTGTAATAGTAGCCTAGGCTATTAAGCAACTCAAACATACCAAACCAACAATTACTAAAACACACAAAAACTGATTTTGCAGGGGCACTATATAAATATAATATATACACATATAGGCTGTTATATAAACACAAACTTGTATGTTAGATGCGATTAATCCCGATTAATCGATTTGACGGCACTATTTTTATATACAATGTACAATCACCTACTGAGTACATGAATCTAAGCAGAAATTACCATTTTAATTTAATTATTTTTATAAAAAATGCAAAACTATCTTAACAATAGACTATTTTACATGAAAACTAATGTTCAGTGCTGCAGCATTTTGTACAGTGATCACTTATTATTGACACTCAACCTCATACAAACACACACAGAGGGTACAGAGCCAAAATGTGGGGCCATAAGTTGATACTGGAAATGACTGTTTCTCAGAATACACACTCTGAAAATTGGCATGACTTCAGGAGCACTCTGGATTGAGAAAACTTGTTGTTCTGCTCACATTTCCCTGAAACAGCTGAGAAAAGAACATTATCCTGAAACTCTATTCTTTTTGGCTTGTGTACTTCAGTAATGGGCACAGGGAGAGCCAGAAAGGCTAGCTCTTAGTTCTGTGTGATGCTCCAAGGGATGCCATTCATTCATGTAAAGTTAGACACATTCCTTTGTGTTTGCACCACTGATAGTCTCTGGAGGAAAAGGTCAAAAAACACTCACCGCTGTGTAATTGTAAGATACTAGTACATCATGATGGCTCACAGACTCTTCCTTTGCATAATAAAATCAGAAAACATTTCCCATTCTACTACTACAGGAATATTTTACATTTTTAAACGTTTGCCAGTTAGGTCACTGTGACATAAATAGGAAATATTCTATCATATGAATAACATGAAAAATGTAGCAAGTCAGATTGGTTTTAAATGAACCATGCTCAGAATGGTTATGAAATATGTAAGCTTAATGAAATGTGTTTGCTAAAACAGTGTTTAGGTTTAGTCTCAGGTATAGGGGTAACCAGACAACTGTTGATCCTGCTTTATTAGGATTGTGTCCCTAAGCATTGCATTTGACCTGCTGGACCTGCACATAGTGCTGTCAATTACTGTGTATGAAAAGGTATCTGCGTAATGCCAAGCCAAGAAAACATTGTTTATTTGATTGTACATGATATGGTAATTATCAAAGGCTTAAAAAAAGAGACCGAGACGAAGATGAGGAAAAAGAGAGGAGTTTCAATGTCCTGCAGGTGCGCACAGGCAAGAGCTCGAGTGTGACAAGAGTACGCGCGTTCACACAGCTCTGACGCTTGTTTGAAAGTCAAAGAGACAACCGAGAGTACAAGCTTGGCGCCAGAGAGTCGCGAGCTCAGGGGAGCGCTTTCACGAGCGATGGGCAAGGGGCCAAGGGCACTTCGGTTCATTTCCGCGACTTGAAAACGACGAACAGGTCGTTTCTTAAAGAATCGGCTCTCAGTAAAACAATTCAGAGGTTCCAATTAGCCTGCCTACGTCACATGTAATTGCGTCATCAAGTGTTCCCTGACATCCAATCCGGTTAATTAATACATTTTATTTTATTAAAGGTTGGGTCAATGAACGAATCGTTCACATCGGATTTGCGAAACGATTCAATCGGTCAATTAAGAAGATTTGACTCGTTCACGAATCGAAGTATAGTTATGTTCACAAGCTCATAAATATATTTACGCTTGGTTTGTTGAATCAGTTAAACATCCTGCATTATTAACTTGTTTGCAAAAGTCTTTAAAAGTCCATGCAATAGCTGGACAAGAGTGGCAACAAAACTGACGTGTGTGTCCCTGGCAAAATCAGAACGTTCCAATATAAACATGTTATGTTATTTGTCTGCTCTGCGCACGCAGTTGCACAGATAGCCTACACTTCAGCACGTTTAGCACGAGTAAAGAATGCCGAGGATTGAGGAGGTGCTCACGTGCTGCAAATTTGGCCAATGTTGATGCCCCGGTTCACAGAGTGACGTCGTCTCATCGACCAATCCGCTTAATTCTTTATGCCTTAACAAACCCAGTTCGGTTGCTATATAAACACATTGACAACAAGCTTCCAGCACAGATCTGTGGGAGAATCGAATGCCCTGAAGTTAATCTTAACATCGGTATCCACTATGAAGGCAGTCAGTCCGGTGAGGTCCATAAGGAAACCCGCCTTGTATTTTTCGGAGCATAATCTCGGGATCTCACGGAGCAAGAGCTCCTCGGACGACCCGCTCAGTTTACTGTACAACATGAATGACTGCTACAGCAGGTTGAAGGAGCTCGTGCCGAGTTTACCGCAGAACAAGAGCGTGAGTAAGATGGAGATCTTGCAGCATGTCATAGACTACATTCTGGATCTTCAGATCGCACTGGACCAGAACCCGCAACAGCAGGTCCACGGACAGAGCCCTCCAAAAATGAGCGTCAGATCACTCGGAGCTGATATCAGCATCATCTCCTTCCAGGTATAGCAAGTTTGTATTAAACATTTCCTGGAGGTAAATATCAAAGTGATTCATATTGGCGTAATGAAAAATGTTATCGCAATTAAATAACCGATTTAAGAAAAAGAAATACATAAAAATAAAAAATAAACATCTGAATGACAATTGTAATATACATGCTGCAATGTGATTTCCGCATTAATTTTGCTCATTAAAAAGCATAATGCTATAACACAACTTGAAATGTAGCTGGCAGCTCCACTGAAAATCGTTTACTTCTGTTAATTAACAGCCCAGTAACCCTCCAACAGATGACCTCTTAAACCTGTCTCGTTGAAATGGTAAGTTGGATGCTCTACTACACTGTGCTTGTGTATCTGTAACAGAGTTAAACTTTTGCACGTGGGGCTGTTTGTCAGTGCTGCGGCGCACCTGCACATATTTATTATGCCAGTTACACTTTACTTCAAGGTGTCATTGTTAGTGTAATTATATATTTAAGTAGCCTACTGAGTAACATTAACTAACACCTTGTACTTACTAGGGTTAGGGTAGGATTAGGGTTTGTTGCATGTTATTAGCATAGGCCTACTCTACTGTTATTACTATGGTAAGTAGGCTACATTATGCAACAAAGACACTGTAAAATTAAATATTACCATTATGCCTTATGCACTATTTTATATCTTTATTAAGTCATTAAGCATGATAGCCTATAATGCTTAGAACAACTTCTTTCATTACAATATTTAGAAATATCATTAAACTTTGATAGCTATCAGAATGTAGGCTACAAGATTAGAAAATCTGTTAAAGTTGTGGTTGGTTCGCTCAAAAAAAAAATTTGTCATCTTTGCTCTCTTATACTTTTCTAAACCTGTTTGACCTTATTCTTTGAAGCATAAGAATTCTTTGAAGAAATTTGTGTTCCACAGAAGTCAGGGGTTTCAACAGCATGAGGGTTGGGAGGGACTCTTCATATTATTTAATAATATACAATGTTTGCTAATAGCTACGTTATTTTAACGTGTATGTCAGATGCTCATGTAGACTCTGGCTGTATGGGATTGCCCTGTATTTCGCTAGTGTTTGGTTAAAGTCCGAGAAGAAAAAAACCGTGAACCTTCCTGTGGCTTCCTCCCTGGCGCCAGTCTGTCCGGATCTCTGTCCTTTTGCCTTCTCTAAACACTCCTCTCTCTCTCCCCTCTCTCTCTCAAACACTATCTTTTGCAGGTGTTTCGGGCATGGAGCAAAAACAGGGGCTTTTTGTGTTTTTTGTCCCGTGTCATTCGCCTGGATTTCGTCTTGAATGACAAAGGACTTCCCTCAAACGGACATAAAAAGTTTCTGGGTTAGTTATATACGGACTTTCATATTCTTTCTTCCAAAGGAAGATTAAAAAAGACTGGAGATATTTTAAAGGAAACCCGTAATTAAGCAAACAATCTCAAAAAGCAGGTTTTTGTTGTTGCTTTTATGTTATCAAGATGAAGCGCAAAACGAGCGCGCATTTTAACGGCTCTAATCCAGTTCGTCAAAGGCTGCGAACTCTGTAAAAATGTACTTTTTTTGTTTCCTCTTTCTGCTGAAAATGTGATGTTTATAATATTACAGAAATTTTTATAATAACAACGTAAATGGCACTTTTATACTGTATATAGTTAAATGAGAAGTATGAATTCTGTGTCCTTGTCTCAGCTATAGATGCATTGTTTTTGTTGTTTATCATTTTTGCAAATGCATAAAGCGTATTAACTTATTACCGTTCACTGTCTGTGAGTGACGCAACTCTCTTGTTATTAAGTTTGTAATGTAAAGACTACACGGTTCAAATTATAAGGGTTTTGGGAGGGTGGGAGGTACATCAATAAATAAATAACTATACTGTCATTAATAATCAATGTACTGTATAACACTTTTTATGTAATTCAAAATGTTTGTCTAATGGCTCTAGGGGCACATAAAACAATTAGATTGTGTAAGACGAATCTTACCCCGAAAATTGATGCAACTTCCTTTAAAAAGTCAACCTCTGAGTCATCACAAAGGCCACTCACAAGTGTTCAGGGTGTGGGATATAATTGTAATGCATGAACTACTGGTGCCACCCATCTGTAATTCAGAGTACTAAAATAAGTTTGCTCTTAGCAAATCATCTCGTGGGAACACAATTCTGCAGTGTGTACAGAACAGCAAAATGTTTATTTCAGTACTTTCAAACACAAACTCAAGAAACATGGTTACTGTCAATGCAGGTTTATTTAATTCCATGTTGAAGACAATCATCACAAAACACGTTTTAGTTTTCAAGATGCCTGCCAATTGTACATTTAACCGCTAAGACTAACATCACGTCATGCAGTTTCTACTGGCTAACTGTAATACTGCAGTCTGACACATGCTTGTCACTGTTTATATACTACTGTAACTACTGCAGTCTGACACATGCTTTTCACTGCTTATATACTACTGTAACTACAGCACAATCACAGCGTGCAGGACAACTCAATACAACACATTTTCAAGCCAGACTGGATGCTCATATTCATACTTTTAATGGATTTTACACTAAGTTAAGGTAGCTTTACCATGACAAGGTACTACAGTATTTTCCATTACTGATTATTTTCCAACAGCTGTGATTCCAAAATGCGTTATAGTCATTCAACTGGAGACATCAATACGTGATTAAGCTAATAATACTGTTTGAAAACTATACAGAACAATACAGAATATATAAACAATACTGAACTATAACAAGGTAGATGATGAGTGGGTGATGGTCTGATGTGAATAAAAACCACTTCAACTACACTTCACGTTAAAAAAAGGTCACAATAACCACTGTGACAGATATTTAAGCATTACACCAAACATGCGTTGACACCACAAAACATTAACCAGATAAGACCAGACGTCACCTACAGGATACTTTCTCGCTCTTCTCCGAAGGTGACTGTTTCAGAGGACACTTTAAGGATCTCAGGAGGATCTCCAGGGTTAAGTCCCCTCTTCAGATGCACCACACGGATGTTCTCATTTTGGGTAGTGGTGGAGGTGGTGCTGGATCCAGGGGTTATGATGACATCACTTCCAGTGGTCCTGGAGGTGGTGTTGGAGCTATCTCTGGGTTGGTGAACATTGTTTCCTTGTTGGGCGTTTGTGTTGTTGTTGAGGGTGGTGTTGCTGGGTGTACGGTTGAGGTTATAACTTTTGGAGGAAGGCCAGCTCTCTTCGGGGCTACTGGCCAGAAGACTGCACTGGTCCTCTGAGCAGATAGACATGCGGGCGATTGCTGGGTCTTGGAGGCCACTCAGACTACTCGGCAGCCCTCGCTTTGGGGCCGAGTTCTCCTCATCTAGCTCAATCAGATTAGCCCTCTCAGACTGTGACAGGTCGGCCTCTTCGTCTTGCAGGGAATGGTTGGGCGAGCTTTCATTGGAGCGGACGCCCGAGTCAGAAGAATCCTTCTTATCTGAAAGGTAATCCTTACCTTTGGATAGAGATCGATCTTCAGCATTGGAGGCATTGGGATCAGGTTTCTTTCCATCCTTGAGCAGAGGGGCATTGTCTGACTCTTCAGACTCTTCGTCATCACTAGTAAGTTTCTGGTAGCGTAAACCACCGCCAGCCTTCAGCTTCAGATCAGCACCCTGGAAGAGGCTCAGCTTCTCTCCAGATGTCTTGCGTCCCAGAAGGGACTTTGATGACCCATGGTCAACCTTCTCATCCTCTTCTGTTATGGGATCTAAAGTGGCCGTATCTGGCGAGGCGTAGTCGGTATTATCGGTCGTGGACTTGCTGCTCCCTCGTTTTGAAATGGATTTGCGCGAATCCTGGTCACCTCCGTCCTTCTTCTTGTCCTCAGAGATGGACTGCATTAGCTGGGTAACAAAAGGTGGCACTGGCTTCTCCATTCCTACCTCAATCTGAGCCATGGAGGCAATGTATTCCTCGTAGGCATTGCGATACTCTGCCTGTTGCTTGTCTGTTAGCTTGCAAATTTCATTGGAGGATTCCTGAGAGTTGAGGCTGGACATGCTAGGTGTACGATGAGTTGTGGCCTACAGAAGACAAGAGATGTCTTTTAGACAAATGTCTAAAATGTAATGGCTTGAAAAAAGGATTGCAAGAACCTGAGAAGAAACGCTTACCATCCATGTAGGGTTGGCTTGTCTAGGAGGCTCCTCCAAACCCACATTACTGAGCTCCTCAAAGCTGAGGTTAAAGTTGTACATGGGTGAGGTGTCCGTGTTACCAGTTCCTCCGAGAGCGGATGCTCCCGTGTGCCTGCAAGGTTCCACATGGCCAACAGTGCTGCTGCCTTGCTCACTTGGAGCCTCCTCATGCAGGATCTGGCTCTCCACAAGACGGAGCTCCAACACCTGCAAAACATCAACTTCATTACACCGGTATCAGTGTGAGAGTGTATGAGCCCAATTAACTGTACTGTACTATATCTTACATTTCTTGATCATGTATGCCTCGCAAGCTTAAAAGTTTTGTTTTGTCTGAGATTTACTTGTGAATTCTGCTAGGTAAAATAACTGAACTGGATAACATGGATGAGGTTTTGTTCAATTCGCAAGAATTATGTGTGATTGTCTTAGGAGCATTAGTAAGAATGGTTTCAAAATAGCAAGCCAATCTATAATGGTCAACCATGGGTGCCATCTTTTTCCAGCAAAATAGTTTATGAACTTATAGCTATCCTGTTTCAAGCTATTGCATTTTTTTTTGTAGAAGAAAACATTTGGTGAAAAAAAAAGTTATGTGTGTTACAAATGTATAATAATAAATAAATATAAATATAAAAATAACTAAATATTATACAATTAAAATGAGAAATTTTGCATTTATAATAAGCATAAACATTAATTAAAAAATTTAATTTCTACTTTTTCTGCCAGGGCCAATGAAAATGTTGCCAAGGCATATAGAAATCTGAAGTACTGTTTATATAAATCAGAGAAAACTACTCACCATTGTCCTGAAAAGCTGCCAATCTCCAAAATTCATGTTCATCTCTTTCTTCAGCTCGTCAATGTTACATTGAGACAGAACTCGGCCATTTATGTTAGCCTGAGAAATCACAAAATTAGAATGTAGTGCAAAACAAGATATTTTCTTCTCAATGTACACTTTTTCTTCTTCAGAAAAATACACACCTTCTTAATAGTGGCTGTATACTGAGAAAGCAGGTTCTGGTCGATGCCGTCGATAAGTCTGACACGCTCACAGACAACATCTGTGCTCATTGAGCTGAGCAGCATCGATGGGGTGCCTGAGACCACCGAGGCAGAGCCCTGGTACACACAACACAGAACTATTAGTACCACTCAACTACATCACAACAGTGTGCATATGAAAGATCTCTGAAGCCTTCAGACTGCTACCACAAGAGATAAACCATGCAGATTTTTAGAAAACAGTTGAAAGGGGTTGCAAAAGGTCTTGAATTAAAATTCAAAGAAGAGAGGGATCAAAAAAGGTACTGCAGAGGAAATTATGCAATGCATTTTGTATGTATTGCTGCCAGCAGGATTTCAAAGAGGCTAGTGCAAATCTAGAGTGACAAGATGGTAAGGAAAAGTTAGGGATACAAATAGTTGTACTCAGAGAGTTTGTTAGTGCTGGAGTGTCATATCTACCACCACACTTAGCATTAAGTGTTATGTAGCTTTCAGATAGCTACGTCTAATTATAACAAAAACCAAACATTGTGACCTACACTACATGGACTATAAATACAGATCTCTGAAAGTCAGAGTGGCACCTGGGTTCTATACTTTTAAAGTTTTCTGACAGAATACTTCAAAAGTTTAGCATTCAGGCCACGTGTGAGATGATTATTTCATTGGCTTTTGTGTAAATAGGCATCATTGAAACTGCATCATCACAACGGAGAGGGTAAAGAGGCACAGATTGGTGTACTTTCATTTTTTATGAGGACAGAAGCTTGGAAAATCCAGGGGGAAAAGTGAGAATTCTGGGGAAGGAGAAGATCTCAAGTTTAATGTGACCAACTAAACTGTACATGTTAGCATGTCACATGAGTAAATGAGCACTATGTAATGACAGTATTTTTTTATACAGTTAATTGGCATATTGTACTTTTACTTTGACTTTATATTAGGCATCTAATCTCAACTTAATTCCTCCTTCCCCACTGTGAGTGTTTAAAGAAATTTGTCCCATAGTGCATGCCAGGGTGTGAGTGTTTAGAGCTCTGGAGAGCGTTAGCGTGTGTTTGCGAAAACGTGTGAGGAGGGGCAGCATTAGCAGAGCAGCAGAACTTAAGCCGAGTCTAAAAGGATTCAGTACCTGCTTCTTTTTCAAAGACGGTACCTTACCCTGCTTGAGGAGAGAGAGGAGAGGAGGGAAGAGACAAAGGAGGTGGAAATCGTGAGGGAACCACATTCATGTTGATGAAAGAAAGATGGAGAGAGCGTTTAAACTGGGAGCAAATGAGTCTTTTTTTTCTACAGCATGTGGGAACTGGTGGACTGCGAAAGCCTCCGGTGAACATTAAGGCAGCTGGTGCTTGACGTCACTAGTGAAGTGTATATTTAAACACTGGCACATTGCTTCTTTTCTCACACAAATAAAGCGTAAAATGGACTTAATGCCAAACACTAGGTATGAAGCACTTTCTACAAAAAGGGTACAAAATAGGGCCTAAAACTTGTTAGGGTTATAAAACATCAGAATTTAATAGAGAAAAATGTATGAAATAAATAAATTTAAAAAGCCAAATTTAGTCTAAA